ACCGAGATGGAATGACTGGGCTTTACAGGAAGGATTTTCACAGATCGATCAATACAGCCGGTGCTTTTGTTCCACGAATTATCATCCTGCTTGCACGTATTCGTACGAGTTGATTCGGAATGCAAACCTTTAAAAAAGCCTTACGAAGGACCCTTTCGTGTCATTTCACGTCACCATAAGACCTTCAAGGTTGATCGTCATGGCCGCGCTCGTTGGTTCTCGTGCATCTGAGCTTTATTGCAAACGTTTGTCAGCCGGTACGGGTACTTTCTCCGTGCCACGGTACCTCAATATAAGTCTATAACAACCACAAGTCTTCTGGTTTAACCATCGGTAACTTGGTTTCGAGCTCGGGGTTCAAGTGTTGAAACGCATCATGGCCGGTCTTAGTTGACATCGCTTCATACTTATCAGAACCATCAAGATTCCGATATAAAGTAGTGATTTAGCTTATCGGTCGGGTAGAATAAATACAAAACCTAGACTACCGTTAATCTTTTCCTCCTAACATAAGTACTCTTCCTCTCTACCGGGCACAATCACGTGTACCGTCGAGATTTAGCACGTCTCGCCATTTTTCGGTGAAATCGATCTTCTAGAGAACGTTTCTTCATNTCGTGCTTTTAATGAGCTACTAAAGACCTTACCGGCACATTTCCCCATGGTGAGCTTTGTATCGCACGCTTTCCTTGCATTGATCAGATCTACTTTCAGGTTTCCGCTGCCGTTGCTTAAATAACAGCTTAATCCTAGCCAAACTTACTTCCAACATTTTGGAAGTTTCAGAATATATCACGTCTACAATCCCAATCCTTCGTTCTGTTTCTTCTTGGAATGGGTATCCAGAAAGATTATGCGCAAACATAAGTAACAGGTTGTGACGAACATCAGCAACTCAGTGTGTGTCTTTTCTATCCTCTTTTATGAGACATGATTGTACAGCTTGTTTTTAATAGGCGCAACAAGGAACAACTCATTACAAAATTCCGTTTGTAACTGCGCACGTGTTTTCCGAGGAATTCCGAAACAGTACGCCTACATTATCATTATCATTATCGTTATCGTCAAGCAGTCTGATAACCGTCGCAGCCATCCATTTCATCCGCAGCCACGCATCCTAAGAACAGGATCAATGAACCAGCGGGACAATCCTGTGAGTCCGTTCCATGAACCGTTTATTTCATTATTATTCGTATTTGTAGTTTTTTTCCACGATACAACCATCTTTTCATTGTACTTTCCCTTCAGCTTAAGGTGGCAACGCTGTCCAACTGCCCTTGAATGTTCATTATTTTAACGGACCTGCGTATGTTATCTTAGCCAAGGCCCGGTCTCGATTGATCGCCCCGGTCACACTACTTTAGCAAAAGAGCTGTTAACATTTGCAACAGACGACCTATGTAGCAAGTAGAAATGCAGACTGCCAGCTTTCAGCACAGCCCTGGACGAACGGTGGTTTGAACTTGTTCCTGAAGTGGAGGTCTAAGCACCCATCTAGCGGCTTTAGAAAACCAGTAGTACGAGCGGCATACTCAGGTCGCTGGTGCACGCTTCGAATTTTGGGGTGGAACGTTCTGCTGTAGAATTCGGTCGAAAATAAGTGGAGGCAACAATCGAGAGTCCGATCTCTTCTTGGAAAATCAGTAGAAGCGCAATTTATATTAGACCTTCCGCGCTGGAGAACGGAAATCTAAATCTCGGAGCCATAACTGAGCGGAACCCTGGTGGCAGGACCGACGTGAAGAATTCTCGTCCAGGTGAGCGACTAAGCTACAACATTTACCGCCAAGAGTACAACCCAGAGGTTCTTATCCTTGTTTTTTTCACTTTTTTGTAAGGTTTCCATCTTTACACATCTCTTTTACCAGACATAATCTTGAAGCATATCTGAACAGGTTCCATGGTAGCTCAGAGAAATCTTCCTAAAGCGGCTACTCAAGACAAACAGGTTATTGCACCCTACCCGTGTTCTCTCTAGGTGGTTGAGGGCATTCGTTGTGATCTGTGCCAGGATTGGTTTCACCAGCGGTGTAGTAAGCTAACGTCCAAGACAGTTGAACACTATACTGTTCACAAGTTTCTGAAATGGTTTTATCCAAATTGCACTAGCTATACCGAACTTTCCAGGGTGAAAACACTTCCACCAGAAAAGAAACTCTCATTCACAGCTGGCAATACAAGCTCTTCCGTGAACCTAGACCCCGCGTAGGCAGATGAA